TCAAACAAATAAAAAATAAATTACTTACCTAATTTATTTTACCGAACCAAATAAATAATTAAAATATCAAGTCGAGTGTGTGACACTCAGTCTTTAAGATAGATTCGTCTCGTTACAGTCCTTATGGAAAAATAGCGTTTATTTCCCAGGATACAATGATCTTCACAAATTGTAGTAACACTCCAAACAATTTATACGGCGAACAAAAAACCTTGTGTTCTATACTCTCTTTAATTTCCCTAAAAAACTAATATGAAGATAATTTATGCAAAGGAGCAAAACAGGACAACAAAATGAAATTTTTAGATTATATTCGGATGTGCAAACTACTCGAATAGGGTTGGTATTTATAAGCAAATTGACAGACCCGAACAGGTCTGAATTCAAACCGAACAGATGTAGATTCAAATGAACAAGTGTAGTTAAAAAATATGGACAAATAACTGTAACAGTTTCTATCTGTTGGAAACTATAGTAGTTAAAAAACTGTCTGGAAGAATTGAATTTGTTCGGCAGTTTCTGGGACTGAAGGAGGCTCAATTTTTGGACAAAAAATTTGAATTCAAATTTGAAATTCAAATAAATTTTGTCCAAAAAATTAATGTTAGAGCCGACCCGACCCATAACCCACACCTGTGCCCAGCTCGGCATGCGTGCGTGTGGTGGTTTGAGCCAAGGTTCCATTTGTTCATAACTCCTCCCTTCTACAAACTTGGGGTGCCCCTTTGGGTCCAACCTAAGTGTTGCTAATTAGAGCTTATATACCTACTCAAGCTCTCTTAAAGTTTCAATGTGAGACAACCCATTTCAAGGAAACCTACATTTAATTATTTAAATGTCTATTCCATGAACCCGAAAATGATGTCAAGCTCCCATTTACTCATAAATGGTTTTGATGAACCGTTTTCACCGTGTGACTTGCCATGTGGCAAGAAACACGTCATCTCTTTGGATCCACCCCAAAAAACGTTTGGGACCCACTCTATTTTGGGCTCAAAGTTGGCTCAAAATAAGCCTATAAAACCAAAATTTTCAACAATCCCCCATATGAATGGAATTTGACGGAGAGAAAATGCAACAACATGATCTAATTTCAGAGAGTACAAAAATTAGAAATATTCTGCAAAGGATAGGTAACTTTTGGCTTTGAACCTTTCCTTGCGAGACACTATCGGATTTACTAGCTAACCAGTAAACATGATGTCTTGAACTGTTTAGTTGTTTGTGTAAACCAAGACAATAGAACTCACACAGTATATTACAAGACACAGTTTAGTTCTCATTATTGCGTTCATTTTGGCCCTGAACAACCTGGTCTCTCATGAGTGCTCTAGAGAATTGTAGCTCTTTACAAAACTCATAGAACCGGCCCAGTTCACACTCACATAGGTGATTCTTATGAAAAGTATCCTGCCATACATAAGAGTCATTAAAAATATTACTTAACCTAAAACGCTGCAGACATCACTATTTCATCATAGAAATGGGTAGGAGTTTGACTCCCTAGTGATCCTTCTGAGTCATACACCACTCGGTTATCCCTTTGAACCTAGATCTTGGGATCTCCAGCCAATTAAGTTGGGTTGCCATTGTGGTAACTCTTATTTAATAGGCTTAAATCCCATTCCCCTTGATGAATTTTCAACTAACTCTCTTGTTAACCCTTTGGTTAGTGGATTCGCTATGTTGTCTTTCGACTTCACATATTTAATGAAATTAATTCCATTAGAGAGTAGTTGTCTCACGGTGTTATGTCGACGACGAATGTGTCATGACTTACTGTTATACATATAACTCTGTGTTCTACCAATTGCTGATTGACTATCACAATGTATGCATATAGCAGGCATTGGTTTTGGTCACATTGGAATATCTTCAAGGAAGTGGGGAAACCATTATACCTCTTCCCCTGTTTTATCTAAAACTATGAATTTTGATTCCATAGTAGACCTAGCAATGCAAGTCTGTTTGGAGGATTTTCAAGATACAGTTGCACCACCAAGAGTAAAGACATACCCACTGGTGGACTTTGAGTCTCTAGTATCCAATATCTAATTTGCATCACAATACCCTTCAAGTACTACTAGATATCTAGTATAATTTAGTCTAATGTTACGAGTAAATCGAAGCTATCTTAGAACCCTTATAATTGCTTTCCAGTGTTCTACTCCTGGGTTACTCGTATATCTACTTAATTTATTTACTGCATAAGCTATATCCGGGCGAGTGTAGTTCATTAAGTACGTTAAGTTTTCAATAATTTGGGCATACTCTAATTGAGAAATACTTTCTTGTACATTTTTAGAAAGAAACAAATTAACATCCACAAGTGTTCTAGCAAGATGATCATCATCTTTGCTGAATTTGTTAAATATTTTCTCAATGTAATGAGATTGTGACAAAGCATAACTTTTTGATATTTTGGTAATTTTCATACCAAGAATTACATCAGCAATGCCCATGTCCTCATGCCAAAATGTTTATTCAACATTTTCTTGGTAGTTTTAATCATGTCATTATTCCTACCTATGATGAGCATATCATCCACATAAAGCACTACAACAAAATGGTTCTTTAATGACAAAATCACTTCGTCTCCAATAGTGAAATTTTCGTCACCAAATTGATCCGTGACGAAATAATTTCGTCACCACGTTCGTCATCAATTCGTCGCCACTAAAAGTACTTGATGACGAAAATTTATTTTGTCACCTATTATTGGTATTTGGTGACGAAATATTTCGTCACAAAATGTTAAATATTTTGTCACCTATAACGTCCATTTCGTCATTAGAATTAAATAAAATTTTATCATATTTGTTTTGGGTGACAAAATATTTCGTCATTAAAAATAGTGATAGAATTTTTAGTGACAAAAATATTGTCACCAAAAGATGGAAAAAAAAAGGCCCTTCAATGATGAAAACTTTTGTCAATAAATATTTTAATTTAGTGATGAAATAGTTAATATGTGGGACGAAATTATTTGTTGGGATTAGAAAGTTTTAGTGTCAATTTTTTTTTGTCGCCAATAATAAATAAATTTTAAAAATTGGGGAGGGGGAGGGTTGTATTTGCAATTTATATATATATTTTTTCAATAAACAATACCTGTACATTTTAATAATCTATTAAATAAAATATCTAATACAAATCAATATAAAATTAAACTGTTCATTATTATAAAACAACCCAAGCAAAATACATGTCTCATAGTATCAAGAAATTAATATATAACATCCAAACTATAACATCTATTCTAGTAAAATAAAAAACTACAACACAATTAAAATAACTTGTAAATTTTAATAACTTGCAGAATATAATATCCATTACAAATCATTACAAAAATCTGTTCATTTGGTAATATCAACAAAAACCTGTTCATTTTAATCTATTCAATAAAATATCAACAAAAAGATAAGATCCATCACAATATAATCATAACCCACAACAACATAGTCAAAATACATGTTTGGTAATATTAACAAAAAGTACAACTACACTGTGATGGATGTGTCTGGTAATATCAACAAAAAAACTCTTGCTATGCAGGTTACCAAATTCGTTCATCTAAAACGACAACAACAACAAAAGGTTAAGGTAACTATTCACTAAATATGTTAATATGCAACCTAGAAGAGAAAAAATAAAAATTTCAAAGTAAATTTTAAACTAAATTTTACTGTGCTTATTCCGTAAATTTTTACAACTTACATTAGTTCCTCCTAAGGTGTTCATGATATTTCTCGGCCTTTTAACGACTATTTCAAGATTTTACTCCATAACGGCCTATTTTCAAGCCTAAATGTTTTCCAACTGAGAGTCCTATGATTGTTCTGTAAGTTTTCACAACTTATGTTGATCCCTCCCAAAGTGTTCATGATAGTTTGTGATAATCTCAAGGTGTTTGTGATGTTTTTTGGGCCTTTAGATGCATATTTCACTATTTTCTCGGGACCTTGTGCCTAAATGTCAAAAGTAGTTTTTTATTCTACCCTAGTTGAAGAAGAAATGTTCTACTAAATTAACATATAAACATAATATACTAACCAAGAAGCTTGTCCATCAGAATCTGAACTTTCCCCACTCTCAAAATTTCACGTGATACCTTTTTTGCGTCAAACACTCTATGATACTTTGTATCTTCTTGCTTTGTTTCTTCTCTGACTTTTGAAACCTTGCAATTTGTTCATTTTGCTGTGCTATTTGCATCTCAAGGCATTGAACATAGTCACTATTTTTAGCAGGTGCAACAATAGTCTTCATAGAAGAAGAAGGTCTCAAGCCGAGTCCTTTCACATAACCTGACCTTGGCTTGAGCACCTTGACTGACAACTCCTCTGGGCTCAAAGGGATTACACTAGTCTGTGAGAGGTGTTCTGCTTGCGTCTGTATCATGTTGTCTTGTTAATTTAAAATAAATCGAACAATTATTAGTTATTTTACCCTACAAAGCAAATAAATAATTTTATCAAAATTAATATGCATTGCCTTGTACATATATAATTAGCTTGGCTCTCCGATGAAATCCATTCATGCGTGTTCGAATTATAGTGGATGGACTTGTAAAATTCTACCAACTCAGGCACTTCTCAATTTGCAATTATCTGATTCATTTGTTTTTGAATGTTATTTCAAATATTTAAATAACAAAGCCTACTAATCCGATAAAATAAAATAACAGAACACACCGAGCTGTGCACCCTGATCGGGATTGATTTTGATCCACATCTATGTTTTGTTTTCATTTGCATCCTATTATTCACATTAGTTAGTGATTGTTCCTACACGATTGAAACACTAATAAAAACAACAAAACTTAATATTAGTAAGAAGAAAATTAATTTTTGACAATTAACATAAAACATTATACCATGAATTTTTTACTATTCCACTTCTTGTCAATTAGAGATGTCCATTGATTAAGAGTAACAATTCTAGGTGGGTAGCTTCTCGCGTACTCCTCCCTTCTTACATCCTTAAGTTGCTTGTATTGTTTAGGTGAAGCTACTCAATTGCGGACCAAACTGTGTGTTTAAAGTCCTTGCTACATCACTCGGATTGCCTTGTAGATCAAACTGATCCAGCAAAATAAAATCATTTTTTTTATAAGTTCCTCGTTTGGAAACATGCTAATTTAGTAACTTTTTGGCTATTGAGCTAAAATATGAGCTAAAAAAACTAGTATGTTTGGGATGACTTTTTGACTTTTTACTAAAAGATGTGCAAAAAGTAGAGAGAAAAGAGAATCTTTGACTTTTTGATATGTGTTGTTAGCTTTTTGATTTTTTTAGTGACTTTTTAGCTTTTTTGGCTAAAAAAGCTACTTGCCAAACGAGGAAATAACCTAAATTTTGTTCACATACACAATTGGACGTAGCAGCAACCAACTGTGATATATACATTTTATTTTGTTGGCTTCACTAGTTATGTTAGAATTTCATGGAAGCTCTCAAATCTAATTTCACACTGACGAGAAATTCTATATTTAGATGTTCATTTTATTTTATTTTAGTTTATTTTCCTATAAATGTGAAATTTCTCTTTCATTGCTAAGAACAACCAACTCAGTAATTAAATTTCCAAGCACCTCTGTTAACAAAACCAATCCTATATTTGCTAAGAAACCCACAATTATATAAATATTCTGGTTATGAAAGCAAAAATCATCCCAGTAACAACTTGCAAGTTGAAAGCCTAGAGAACATATTAGCTAACTCTAAACTTTGTAACGCTGTCGAACTTTCAACAAAACAGAGGACACTGCAACATTCAAGCAATAGTTGTTTTTTCCAGTACTAGTATAGTTTCAAATACTCTTTTTGTGCTATTTTTGATTCAATGGCAGTTTACTGTTTTATGGTATATATAATAAGTAAACATGGTAGTCAATAAAAGAGTTGAGGAACCATTTGTTCAACATGGTTTCAATTCAACTAAGATCATTTACATAAACTATAGGATACTATTACTAACCAGAAAGAGCCACACCCAAAAGGAGCAGAAAAGAGCAATGTGTAGAACACCAAACAATTTCAGTCATAGAAAGAAAAAAGAGTGCAGAGTTATACAATGCGAGCAAGATAAGTCAAAAATAAAATTGGTCAAGTCTCAATGCATGACATGAAGGTGGTAGGATACAATGAAAAATATCCATCAGGCTTGAGGAATGTGACCCTCTAGCCACCATTAAGGATGACCTTAACATTGGATAGTTTTCCAAGAAGTCCAAATCCCTTTGCACCAAGACCTACTAAACAAAATGATTAATCATCAGGAGAAGTCAGTAAGCATGGGAAAAGACATTTTGATCCCAGAGAGCAATTTTCTTATTTAAAAAAATAATATCAATCTTGGTAAAATGCAGCAGTCTTATCAGTTGACAGAAAATGAGGTTGCCTACTACATCACACAACTCATCAAGTGAAAAATGGCCCATCAAACATGCTAGAGTTACATGCTACATCACACAATAAAATGCCCTTACATGCTATATCAATCTTGGTAAAATGCAGCAGTTACATGCTACATCAAACATGCTACATCACACAACTCATCAAGTGAAAAATGCCCTAACAAAGAGAGTATTTCTTTCACACAATAATTACCATGTAATTTCAATTTCAATTTCAATTTCAATTTTCATCTGTCATGCCTCTTTTACTTGACAATAATTACCTCCAAGCGTTGGATCATCGGCTTCTTATCAGCATCGTGAACCTTATTCCACCTACAAATGCTCAAGTCTGGTAATTGCGTTCGAACCTCTATGCCAATCTTGGAGGCCAACTTAGAGGCTTGATCTCCCACTGGCGCACGGAAATGTTCAGGTACAGGAACCAACATCTTTCCATTTTTCTGGACAATGCGTTGGGTTTGTATGCCGCGTGTTGGACCACGACCACGTCTGTCATGTGATGCTGTAAGGACATAATGTTAATTGAGTTAATAAGTAAACAAATGCAAGTTAGACCTTAAATTAAATATAAACAACTTTGCAAACTTACCAACACTACTAGATGCAGTCACCTCATGCACAGGTTGCACATTATGAGGTGGTAAGGGTTGGGTACCAATCTCTTGACGTGGGGGATCCATCCCTTCTTCTAGGGTGGGAGTTAATGGCCTCGAATAAGGCTGTAAACGTAACCCCGGTGGCATCTCTTGTTCCTGAAATAACATAATCGAATAGTAAAGAAGATATTTAACACAGTTAAAATATATTTTAAAAAAGATATGATGTTTAAGATATATGAAGAAGATATTTAAATAGTAAAAGATACGTTCACACACAAATATAAAATAATGTATATAATACCTTGCGATAAAAGGAACCCAATGACTCGTTATCACTATCGTTCTCACTCCCTGACGGATTATACTCATCATCATCATCTACCTCAACCCTAATTCCCTTTTCCTTTGCATTTGCACATTTGGGCTGAACCACACTCATCAAAGAATTTGTAATATTCTTCACTCCAAGATTGTTCATTACCTCATAGTTCTTCTTGAAAATAACCTAAATTTTGTTCACATACACAATTGGACGTAGCAGCAACCAACTGTGATATATACATTTTATTTTGTTGGCTTCACTAGTTATACTAGAATTTCGTGGAAGCTCTCAAATCTAATTTCACACTGACGAGAAATTCTATATTTAGATGTTCATTTTATTTTATTTTAGTTTATTTTCCTATAAATGTGAAATTTCTCTTTCATTGCTAAGAACAACCAACTCAGTAATTAAATTTCCAAGCACCTCTGTTAACAAAACCAATCCTATATTTGCTAAGAAACCCACAATTATATAAATATTCTGGTTATGAAAGCAAAAATCATCCCAGTAACAACTTGCAAGTTGAAAGCCTAGAGAACATATTAGCTAACCCTAAACTTTGTAACGCTGTCGAACTTTCAACAAAACAGAGGACACTGCATCATTCAAGCAATAGTTGTTTTTTCCAGTACTAGTATAGTTTCAAATACTCTTTTTGTGCTATTTTTGATTCAATGGCAGTTTACTGTTTTATGGTATATATAATAAGTAAACATGGTAGTCAATAAAAGAGTTGAGGAACCATTTGTTCAACATGGTTTCAATTCAACTAAGATCATTTACATAAACTATAGGATACTATTACTAACCAGAAAGAGCCACACCCAAAAGGAGCAGAAAAGAGCAATGTGTAGAACACCAAACAATTTCAGTCATAGAAAGAAAAAAGAGTGTAGAGTTATACAATGCGAGCAAGATAAGTCAAAAATAAAATTGGTCAAGTCTCAATGCATGACATGAAGGTGGTAGGATACAATGAAAAATATCCATCAGGCTTGAGGAATGTCACCCTCTGGCCACCATTAACAATGACCTTAACGTTGGATAGTTTTCCAGGAAGTCCAAATCCCTTTGCACCAAGACTTACTAAACAAAATGATTAATGATCAGGAGAAGTTAGTAAGCATGAGAAAAGACATTTTGATCCCAGAGAGCAATTTTCTTATTTAAAAAAATAATATCAATCTTGGTAAAATGCAGCAGTCTTATCAGTTGACAGAAAATGAGGTTGCCTACTACATCACACAATCATCAAGTGAAAAGTGGCCCATCAAACATGCTAGAGTTACTGCCCCCTGTTTTAGCTAATTCATCTGTTTCTGAATTGGACAATTTAGGCACCCTTGCTTCAGCTAACCACGGATCTCTGCCTCTTTCCTCCATCTATTCTAATTAAATCAAATACCCTCTGCTGTCTGTCACCTTCCTGAAGCCAATATAATGACCTCCATCTATTCATAGCTATTGTTTCCATGATTTGATTAGTACTAACAAGAATACTTCCCTATTTATTTGTTGGCATCACTAGTTATATTAGTGTTTACTAATATATGCATCACTAGTTAAATTTTTAGATTTTCTATTGTGTTTCACTACGCAACGATACAAACTGAATACATAGTTATAGTTGCATTATTTTACATCTTACTAATCGTTAAATTCTTTCCAAAACTAGAAGTCTTTGATATGCTACCATGTAATATCTTGTTTAGCAGCAAGTTCTTGTAATCACCCTAACAAATAGAGTAGTTCTTTCACACAAGAAGCAAAAACTTGAGCATAACCAAGCAACAAACTGAAATAAACCCCTATGCTACACCATTTTTCTCTAATCCTTTCCATCTATCACCTCAATTTCAGTTTCAAAAAATATAGAAGGCAATAGTGAAGGGTTTTTCAATTTCAATTTTCATGTGTCATGCCTCTTTTACTTGACAATAATTACCTCCAAGCGTTGGATCATCGGCTTCTTATCAGCATCGTGAACCTTCTTCCACCTAAGAACGCTCAAGTCTGGTAATTGCGTTCGAACCTCTACGCCAATCTTGGAGGCCAACTTAGAGGCTTGATCTCCTACCGGCGCACAGAACTGTTCAGGTACAGGCACCAACATCTTTCTATCTTTCTCGACAATGCGTTGGGTTTGTATGCCGCGTGTTGGACCACGACCACGTCTGTCATGTGATGCTGTAAGGACATAATATTAATTGAGTTAGTAAGTAAACAAATGCAAGTTAGACGTTAAATTGAATATAAATAACTTTGCAAACTTACCTACACTACTAGATGCAGTCACCTTATGCTCAGGTTGCACATTATGAGGTGGTAAGGGTTGGGTACCAATCTCTTGACCTGGGGGATCCATCCCTTCTTCTGGGGTGGGAGTTAATGGCCCTGAATGAGACTGTAAACGAAACCCCGGTGGCATCTCTTGTTCCTGAAATAACATAATCAAATAGTAAAGAAGATATTTAACACAGTTAAAATATATTTTAAAAAATATATGATGTTTAAGATATATGAAAAAGATATTTAAATAGTAAAAGGCATGTTCACACACAAATATAAAATAATGTATATAATACCTTGCGGTAAAAGGAACCCAATGACTCATTATCGCTATCGTTCTCACTCTCTGACGGTTTATACTCATCATCATTATCTACCTCAACCCTAATTCCCTTTTCCTTTGCATTTGCACATTTGGGTTGAACCACACTCATCAAAGAATTTGTGATATTCTTCACTCCAAGATTGTTCATTACGTCATAGTTCTTCTTGATTCGCTTATTTCTTTGTTTCTCATATTCTGTTAGCTTCTTAGTTCTCAAATCACCTGGTTTCAACCATTGTCTTTTTCCTTTGACCATTTTCTACAACTATATAACATAATTCAACTTTAATTGGAAAATATAGACAATATAATTATGCACCATTAAATAAAAGAAGAAAAACATAATCCCAAAATATCTAAAACACTTTAATTGAAAAGTACTTTACGTACGCTTGTCATACCAAAATAGACCCTCTTCTAAAAAAAGTCATCCAAAGTTCCAAACTAAATAGATTACAAGTATAATACCAAATTCAGTATTAGCAGAGACTACAAGTATAATACCAAATTCAGTATTATACTGAATTTGGTAAAGTCTCATGCTTCTAATTGTGGCATTTTATCAAACACCTAGTAGACCCATAATCAGAAGCATGAGACTTTACCGTGTGTAGAATCACCAACAATTCATTCACTTCAATGATTAAATTGGGTAGAATATGAATATCATAATCAGAATACATAACATGTTAATCATTCCATTTTCTATATTTTTTTCCCAAATTAAAATCATTCAAGTTGTTCATATAACCCTTTAAAGTAGAGAAGTTTTGGAGATGTTAGAAGTAATGAATGGAATGACTTTAATCTCAACTTAACAATGAATTCTGTACCCATATCCTATTTTCTAGATTTTTTTTTGTATCGCCATATCCGAATTGTATTGTATTCATATCCATGCTTCATAGTGCATAACCCATTTGAATTGCATCAAAGTAGTTTCTAGAAAACCAATTGTGACTCTATGTTTTCTAATAAAATTCTTACTTGTAAACAACAAATATGGAATACCGATTGCATGATTTGCATCTTAAAAGATGCTTGATAACAAATTTGATACTGCCATCACACTCTAAGTGAGCAAAGCAATAATTTGAAAGAAAAGATTGGAGATATGGAAGAAAGGTAACACGTGAACTTGTAAGTTCTTTTGCTCGTTTTTGAAGAAGCTGTCTCTGGAGTGCTTGATTTTCCTGTGACATCCGAATCCTTCTAGACTGGATCTAAGATTGCACACGGGCTACAATTTGCATGCATCCTAAAGCATTCACAGTTTGGCGTTTGACAGTAGGCCCTCGTATTAATGATTTCAGCCTAACAAGCCCTCTCAAAGCATGCAATGCCGTCCTTGCCTGGAGACAACAAACCCACAACAGCAAATCAGTTGATAACATTCATCATTTCTCAAGTGACCCGATGCTAAAGTTACAAGGAAGAAAAATGAGGGGATAAAAAATTTGAAACACACTGCATAGTGCCAATATGAACAATTAATAATGTGTGTCCTCAAACAGCTAAAATTGTAGAAAACTATAATATAATAAACAAATTTATATATATGTAATTCAATAGAATTATATCATTTTAAATGCCCCTAATTGGTTAACGGCCTACATTTCAACCATACTACAACATATATAATCAAAACTACAAGTTTGACTATTCTGAAACTTCCTTTGTTCTTAGAACTCTTGGTCAATCTTAACTCAACTCAGTAAGCCTTTGTCCTAATTATTTGGGTCCATTTTCTCCAATTTTTTGATCTTTTCCTTAGAGATTATGCTTATCATTAATAAGTTATTTATGCAAGCCAAATCATTAATAAGCAAATTTTCAAAATAAAAAGGACACCCAAAACACGATACGCCCACTAAAACGGGGTCTGGGGAGGCAAAACATTGACTAGTACAAAAATGTCACTTGCAGTCATGCTCAAACCATGGGACTAACACAAGAGAGACAGAAAGTGATGAAATTATATAGTTGTTTTGGTTCTAAATGATAAATTCCGGACATTATTTTTCACAGCGTGTCATTAATACCAAAGAACAAACACAAACGCAAACACTTCATTCCATAAAGCTAGTCAACTCGAGCATGGCCTCATGGAGTCTGAAATACATAGTTATTTGGTAGCCTATATCTGAGAACAAGCTCAACAAAGCAATAAATAAAGATAAATCAAACAGAAAATGCTTGCAACCTCTTAAGATTGTAGAACTTTTGTTCTCAACCTTTCTGACCATAAAAAAGAAGCACTATGCCAACTAAATATTAGCTATTGGAATCAGAGAATGATAAAAGATCAATTACTTCACAAATACAAAACACAACCCCAAAAATTCTCATTAGGAATGGAAATTTTATTTTTCCTATGAGAATGTAATGCGATTCAAATGCAGCATTTGAGCAATAAGAATTACATTTATAGACATTGGACATGCTTGCGCTCAAAGACGGAGTGAGGGTAGAGAATGAGAAACCCAGAGACCTGAACAGAGAGAGAGGGGTAGAGAAAGAGAAACAAAGACAAAAAATTGACCTGGAACTCACGGTGGTGCTGTAGCTTGATGTCGGTGTAGGATGAACTCACGGTGTGGAAGACGAACCGTCCTCACGATGGAGGATGAACTCACAGTGGTGGATGAACCGTCCTCACGGTGGAGTATGGACTCATGACGGTTCTCTGTTACAGCTTTGTGAAGGAACTATAGATAGATTAGGGCACAAAGTTCTAATCAAGGAGATAAAAAGTTATTTTGGACAGAAATTTTGATATTATTCAATTTAGGCGCTAAATCAAAAAAAATTTGGCACTTTAATTTTGGGTGTATGTAAAGACAGAGAAAAATATGAAAAAAAAATAAAAATAAATCATAATTCATAAATTGGGTAGTAATGTGAAAGTATTCCTACCAAAAAATAAATCTAGGTATTTTATGAAATTTTTTAGTCACCAAATTTGGAATTTATTGTAGTAAGAGAGAGATATGAAAGGAAAACTGATAAACACACACACCAAAAAAAAAAAAAAAGGAAAAAATTAGTAGTCTATTTTTTTTCATTACAGTCCAATTTGTCAAAATTTTTCCTCCAAAATTAGTGACAAAATAATTTCCTCACTAAAATGTCTTAAAATATTAAAAATTATTAGTAAAGAAAATATATTTCTCACTAAATAATCTTAAAATATGTAAAATCAATTTTTTTTTATAAAAAAAATGTAAAATTATTGGTGACGAAAATATATTCATCACTAATAATTTTATAATTAGTGACAAATTTTTTTCTCACCAAAAGTTTTAAATTTTGGCGCCACAAAAAAAAAATTAGTGGGAAAACCTTTGATGACGAAACATAATTTTTCTTCACCTAAAAAGAAGTATATATTGACGAAAGTAAATTTCGTCACCTATTATTTTTATTTGTTATATGTGATAAAATTTTATAATTCGTCACGAATTGTTCTTATTTAGAGACGAAATTTATTTTCTACACTACTTTTCCTTACCGTAGGTTACTTTTGTTGTAGTGAAGACATACTATAACATAACCGTTGCTAGTGTTTTTAATATAAATACATTTGTCACATTCATTAATTTTGAATCTATTTGACATCATTGCTTTATCAAATTTCTCATGCCATTGCTTTGGCGCTTGTTTTAAACCATATAATGATTTAACCAATTTACACACTTTATTTTCTTTTCTTTTCCTGGAACAGAAAATCCTTTTGGTTGTTCTAGTAACCGGTGAGTATGTGTCAAAATAATCAAATTCTTCTTTTTGTCTAAAACCTTTGAACACAAGTCTTGCCTTGTATTTGTCAATTGATCCATTCACTTTCATCTTTCTTTTGAAAATCCACTTGTACCCAAGAGGTTTACAACCTGATGACAAATCTACCAATTTCCAAGTGTGATTTTGTAGAATGTATTTAACTTCGCTATTTACAGCTTCTTTCCATAAAAGAGCCTCAGAACTGGACATAACCTCTTTAAAAGTTGAAGGCTCATTTTCTAACAAAAATGTTAGAAAATTTGGACCAAAAGATTTTGAGGTTTTAGCACGTTTACTACGCGTAGGTTCCTCTTCCTCATTTTGATCTATCTCTATCTCATGCTCTTGCTCTTATTTTTGTTCTTGTTCTTGATCTTGATCATGACTAGTAATAACATCATAAGATCTTTTATTAGTACTAATCTCTTGTCCAGTTTTATTTGGAAACACATATTCAAAGAAAGACGCATTTCGAGATTCAATAATAGTATTTACATGCATTTTGGAATGTTCTGACTTATGAATCAAAAATCGATATGCACTATTATTCTTGATATAACCAATGAAAATGCAATCAATGGTTTTAGGACATATCTTAGTCTTTTTAGGACTAGGAATAGCTACTTTAGCCAAACACCCCCACACTTTTAAGTATTTGTAAGATGGCACTCTCTCATGCCACATTTTATAAAGTGTTTGATTCACTTTCTTTCGGGGTACTTTATTAAGTATATAATTAGCAGAAAGTATTGCTTCCCTCCCACAAGTTCTGAGGTAATCCATAACTTATTAACATGGCATTCATCATTTCTTTTAAAGTCCTATTTTTCTTTTCAACAATTCTATTTTGCTAAGGTGAGTAAGGAGCGGTGGTTTGATGAATTATTCCATGTTCTTTACAAAACTCACCAAAAGGTGATTCATATTCACCACCTCTATCATTTCTAAGTTTCTTAATGTTCTTACCAAGTTAATTTTTAATTTCATTTTTATATTGATGAAAGTTTTCAAAGCTTTATCCTTGGTTCGAATTAAATAAACATAACTATATCTAGTATAGTCATATATGAAAGTGATAAAATATTTTTTCCCACCTCTAGTTTGAATTGATTTAAAATCACAAATGTCACTATGAATTAATTCAAGTGGTTCCGTATTTCTTTCAATTGAATGAAAATGAGTTCAGGATAATTTTGCCTTAACGTAAATTTCACATTTATGATTTGAATCAATGTTAAATTTAGGTAAACATTCCATATTAATTAATCTATGCAAAGATCCATAATTAACATGTCCTAGTCTACCATGCCACAAATTTGAAGACTTAAGCAAGTAAGAAGAAGATGTATTTTTATTAATGTAGAGGGGTTCAAGGTTAGAGAGGTGATTAGAGAGGCAAAACTATGTTAATAGTCCAATAATGGTGGAGGTGGCTAGAGAATGAGTAGCAGTAACAATTTGGAAGTTGGAGAGTGTATAGCTGGGTGAGGGTGAAGCAAATGGCTTAAGGAGAAGTGTATGGCAGTACCAAATTGGGCAGCATCACCCCAAAATCTCAAAAATTCTTCTTGTTGAACCTTAGGAAATGGGTCTTATTTATAGGCTTTTCCTTGGTTCCAAGTGGACACCAAGTGGCCAAATAGAGAGAAGACATGTGTCCCAAAGGATCACACGGAATATTCTGCCTTGAGCCACCAGGCTGAAGGTGCCACGTGTCCCTCTGCATGTACTGTGTACTATCTGTTTGCCTCCTCAACTACCTTTTTGAGCCTCAGCAAATGTAGTTGCGACGGGAGTGTTTGGCGTTACAACTCCCTTTTGAGCCTCAACAATTGTAGTTATAGCGGAAGCGTTTCCCTCTGCATTTGTTTTCTCAGCTTGAACCTTAGCAAGTGCACTTGCAGCGGTGAACCTTGCCGCTGCACTTGCCTTCTCAGTTCTATTTTGCTAGTACATGCATTCTCAGGACTCTATTAGTCTGCTATTGACTATGTTGGTGTTCACTTCAGCGAAGCCTGCACCCTTAGCCACCTAACCACAAACTCCCGGCTTCCCAGGGCGAATGCCATAGCCAAGCCTGTTATCAGCCATGCTGCGCCTTAGTACCAAGCCCAATGGGGCTTCCTTAGTTTTGCCTGTGTGACTAAGGCAGGTGCATGACCTGGGTAATGGAAATGGAGTCCCTTATGTTTGGGCTACCCTGCTCCCATCTTCGTGGGTTTGTCGCGGTAAACTGGCATTTCTAGGCCTGTTATCAGCTCCAACCAATAAGTCTTGGGGCCTGCTATCAGTGCCAAGTTAATAAACCGTGGAGTTTGCTATTAGCCCTAGGCTAGTAATGCCTTGGGGCCTGCTATCGGCGCCAAGCATTAGCCTCTATTTGCAGAGGGAAGCCTCTCTCAAAGGCTATTATCACCTTGGTAGGATATTCCGTTTGCAACTTAGTTGCTGCGGCAGTCATTTCCTGTGGCAAGTTCAGACGGTATGACCGAAGATATTAGAGATGGCAGCGTCGACAGAATGCCTCCGCAACTTGGGCGTTGTAAGAATTGCCTCTGCAACCTAGTTACCTCGGTCTTCTCTTTCCTTCGGCAACTCCAGATGATCGTGACACCGACATTACTTGGCATGGTGGCAACACTGAAGATACTTGGAATGGTGGCGCTAAGGCAAAGTGCCTCAGCAACTTTGCCGTTGCACATGTTCCCTCGGCAACTTCAAATGGGGGCGGAACTGAAGTTAATAGGAAAGGTGGCGCTGAGGCAAAGTGCCTCAGCAACTTTGCCGCTGCACATGTTCCCTCCGCAACTTCGCCGCTGCAAGTGTTGCCTCTATAACTTGACTTAGACATTTCTCCTTGTTAAGTCCATCTGGAGCCCTGGTGGGTCGGATTTACCTCGGCCCACTTGTTGGCCTACTTCCCTTGGGCTTTGGCCCATGTTCCTTTCTTGTCCTTGGTCGTCTCTTTAGGTCGACCTCGGTGCTTAGATCCATACAATTAATAACAGAGGGTACAATAGTCACTATATTCATTTTGTAAAGGCTATCAGACATGTAACATTTTCCTACTACATCCCATTTTTAGTAAGTACAAACTTGTTACTTTTTAAAAACTAGCCTAAACCTATTTTTACTTAACAAAGATCCGAAAACAAGGTTCTTGCGAATGTCCGGTACATGTAGCACATTGTTGAAATGAGTTCCTTTTCAGATGTCATCTTCAGAATAATCTTTTCTTATCCTTTAACTTTAGAAGTTGAGGAGTTACCATAAAAAGTTGTTCACCGTTGTCCATTACAGAATAAGATGTGAACATCTTTTTATCGGCACAAATATGGCGAGTAGCACCAGTGTCCACCCACCATTCTTTAGGATTTCCGATTAGATTTGCTTTGGAAACAATTGCAGAAAGATTTATGTCACCAACACCATTAGAAATTTTGTCCACTTCAGTCATATTGGCTTAAGCAGGCTTCTTGCTTGATCTTCCTTTTGCCTTTGCGTTTGCTACGACAATCTTTGGTTCGATGTCTCTCTTTGTCACAGATGTAACATTTACCATTAAACTTGGACTTTTTAGTTTTCCCCCTTTAGAGCTTTGTAAGGAACTTTCTCTAGAAAATTTCTATTTTTTGATTTTTGGAGCATGTTCCACTACATTTTTCTTTGATTCCATTGGATGCTTATAAGCCTGCTTATCATAATTGCGGTTGTCCTTCTTAATCCTCAAACGCAAAATCAATTCTTCTAAAGACATTTCTTTGCGCTTGTGTTTGAGCTAGTTCTTGAATTCCTTCTAGCCTTGTAGTAATTTTTCAATTAAGGCTACAACTTGGAAGGATTCACTGAGAGACATGCCTTCTGCGTGAATGTCATGCAGAATGAGTTGGAGATCTTGAACTTGGCTGATCACAGTCTTAGAATCAACCATCACAAAATCCAAGAATTTGCCAACCACAAATTTCTTTGAGCCAATATCTTATGTTTTGTACTTTTTCTCCAAAAACTCCTAAAGTTCTTTTGCTATCTTGATAAGACTGTAGACGTTGTATAATGTGTTGTCAAGTTTGTTCAAGATATAGTTTCGGCAAAGGAAATCAGTATGTTTTCAGGCATCGACCGCAGCAACCACTTGCCGGTCAGTTTCATCATCGTTCAGAGTAGGAGCATTCTCACGGAGAAAACGAGCCAGGTTCAAAGTTATAAGATAGAACAACATTTTTTGTTACCATCTTTTAAAATCAATTCTTGAGAACTTCTCTGGCTTTTCACCGTGATTGACTGGCACAGCATGATGGTTGGTGCAATTGTAGCCATCACACTAGTACTTGTTTGAGCATTAGTTTCAATAGCCATGGATTCTAAATTATAAAACAAAATTATAATTAGAATTTTATACTATACAGAAAATTAAAACCAAAATCACAGAATTAAATTCTGTAAAAAATAAAAGAAACAAGAATTGTAACTTTTATTTTCAATTAATTTGAAAATAAAATAAAATAAAATTTTATTTAAACAAATTAATTCCACACAGAAAATTAAATTTCTGCAACACTTCAATAATTAAAATACCAAAACAGAATTTTAATTAATGAACACTCAGAAATAATTTCTGAAAATCAAAAATTAATTTCTGACAAAATTTCACAAATAAATATTCTGATTTGTTAATGACACCGTATATTACTACTAGTTGTCAAAGAAAATAGACAGTATATTACTACTATCTGTCAAACAGTATATTACTACTATTTATTTTTCCAATCAGAATATTATTTTGTAAAATCACCGAAAATAATTTCTGTATGAAGAAGAAAGAGAAAAAGAAACAAACGAAAATTTTTGTATAAACAAAACAATTTGAATCTGTCTTAAGATTGTTAGAACAATTTTCTGTGTAAAAAATAAATTGAAACAAATCGAGTGTGTGACACTCGGTCTTTAAGACAGATTCGTCCCACTACGGTGCTTACGGAAAAATGGTGTCTATCTCCCAAGATACAATGATTGTTACAAATTGTAATAGCATTCCAAACAATTTGTACGGCGAACAAAAAATCTTGTGTTCTGTACTCTCTTTAATTTCCCTAAAAAACTAATATGAAAAGAATTTATGCAAATGAGTAAAACAACACAGTAAAATGAAATTTTCAGATTATATTCAGATGTGCATACTGCTGGAATAGGGCTGGTATTTATAGGCAAATTGACAGACCCGAACAGGTCTAAATTCAAACCGAACAGATGTAGATTCAAATGAACAGGTGTAGTTCAAAAATATGGACAGATAACTGCAGCAGTTTCTATTTGTTGGAAACTATAGCAGTTAAAAAATTGTCTGGAAGATTTGAATATGTCCGGCAGTTTCTGGGACTGAAGGAGGCTCAATTTTTGGACAAAAAAATTGAATTCAAATTTGAAATTCAAATAGTTTCCAAAAAAATCAAATAAATTTTGTCCAAAAAATTAATTTTAGAACTGACTTGATCCACAACCCACACCCGACACGGCACGCGTGGTGATTTGAGCTAAGGTTCCATTTGTCTATAGAGAAAAGTTAAGAATCATGAAAAAATTTTCATGAAAATGATCATGAAAGATTTATAATCCTTCGATTACCTTGATTAGTGTGTGGTGCTTTATTTTAAGTATAATCTAAGGGTCACAAAACTTTCATGATTATTTTCATAAAAAGGTTTTTCATGATGCCTAGCATTGCTGTTGTCCATAACTTCTCTCTTCTACAAACTTGGGGTGCCCCTTGGGGCCCAACCCAAATGTTACCAACTAGAACTTATATATTTACTCAAGCTCTCTTAAAGTTTCAATGTGGGACAACTCATTTCAAGGAAACTCACATTTAATTAATTAAATATCCATTCTACGAATTCGAAGACGACGTCAAGTTCCCATTTACTTATAAATGGTTTTGACGAACCGTCTCACCGTGTGACTTGCATGCGGCAAGAAACACGTCACCTCTTTAGACCCACCTCAAAAAATAAACCTATAAAACCAAAATTTTCAACAATTTTGACACAACCTTCTTCAAAAATATATTACTTAATTTAAGATCAACATTACGTGGTGCACTTATATTATTTATTGATGGGCCCATCACTAGACAATACTAGTCAAATCATCCGCCAATCAATTTTTTGACCATCGAATAACTTATCAAATTTTTCATTCAAAAATGGATTGCGATCCTCCCCCTACAAAAATTATGATTAACCAAATATAAGGAGGGGTGGCTTACACTTACAGAACCCTAACAGTTTACTTGTACAATTTTCAAAATGGTACAACATTTACTTGTACAAAGTATGCACTTTCCATGAAATTTCATGCAAATTTACTTGGGTTGAAGGATTCTCCCACTGCATAATCTCCTTCACACCCTTTTCAATCTCCCGAGTCTCTCTCACCAAACTCACCATGCAAAAAACCAGTGCACTCAAACTCAAACAATTCTGTGTCTTGATCCCATCATTATCAACTTCAACAGAATTGACTTTATCAACAACTTCTCTTGAATCTTCAAGATAATAACTTATGATCTTCTCTATCTCATCTTCAGCTGAACCACAACTCCCAAACACAATTGAACTTGGTGGTTTTCCCAACTCAATATCATGAGCAATGTTCTTCTTTTCAAGCTCCTTCTCAAGGTGTGAAAGTGATTTGACCAAACTGACCTCCTCAAAACACTTCACTGAAGAACAAATCATTTTCTTAAAACGCTCAATGTGACCTTCTAGCTTGTCAATTCGCTCAAGCGATCCGATTGCATGATCAACAAAGAGCAAGAGATCCTCCATCTTTGACAAAGACCCCCAGAGCTTATAATAGCAAGCACTGTTAAAAGGCAAAAACCAGAAATCGGGTTCTACCTCAGCCTCTCCTATGAACTGTTTGAGCTCATTTACATGGGTCTTCAGCTTCTTTTGGCTATCTCCCAAGCTGGTTTTGCTATCACCAAGACTTATCAAGCTGACACACTCATGCAATGCCTTGAGGCTTTTGGAAAGTTGCATTTTAGCTAGAGTAGAACCTCTTGTGGGCTGCAAGACAATCTCTACCATGATTGAGCAAGATAATCCAATGAAGGTCTCAACGATTCTGGCAATAGCAAATTCACTCGGAGGACCAAAGTTTTTTCTGCCTAAGATTAAAACTGCCCCAATAACAGCTGATATGGCACCGGCCTGGCCGTACAGGCGGCTTTGCTGTAAAAAACTAGTGAAAATGAACCAAGGAAGAAGAGACAGGAACCTTACTTGGGCAATTTTTTGAAACATGAAACAACCTAGTACTCCATAGACAGTTCCTAACACTGTCCCTTGAGCTTTCACATTGGCTACTTTGAATGTTGCCTCTCTTGCACCAGCAATGCTGATTGCTACGGGCAGTCCGGCCCAATACCCATTTTCTTTGCTATATATCAAACCAAACAACACAGCAAGGCCTAAAGAAAGTGAGCATTTCAAGGCTGAGATGAGCCTTTTGTATCTTTTGTTCATGGCCCCCCAATTGCTCCATACGCCCTTGGAAAAAGCCAACCTGTCTTGTTTGCTTGAATTAGTTTTTCTACCTGCATAGAACCCAATCAGAATCCTCATGGGATTCGGACATTTAATGGGTCCTCCCACTTCATGTGAAAGCGTTGTGTTTGGTTTTATGATAGAATTTTGTACACTTAAAATGGGTGATCCATCTATAACTGAAACATTAGTTGATGAAGTGGCCATTGATTTCTTCTGGAGGAGTTTCAGGCAAAATAAGAAGAAGAAAGTGGGTAAATCTTTCTGGTTTTGTGGGACGGTTTGAAGGGTTTGGAGGGACTTCAACACATTTTTTGCATTTGATTCAGGGAAAGTTGGGGAGTCAAGAGGCAAAACTTTCTTTAGGGTTTGGCCAATGTGCTCCTCTAATCTAAGTAGACCATCTCTGAGCTCTTGGTCCAGTGTTTGAACTGGATTTGAAGAACTTGTTAAAGCAATTTCCATCCCTCTTAATGGCTTGTCTAGTTCCTCTAATCTTTCTCCTGGATTCATGCAATATGGTTTCAAAAACTTGATTGGAAGCCTCTCCCACTGCATGCTTTCCTGTCAACATTAGTGAGGTCAATTAGATTTCCAATTACTAAAGTTTTAACATGAATAATGATATTCATTTTCAGTTCAAAAAAAAAAAAAAAAATGATATTCATTTAAAGAGGTTAATGAAATTTCACACTTCATTTAATGCTCCCATTTTTGACTTGTAGAATATTAAAGGCTAAAAGTGGTGTGTGGACCATTGCTCTTTGAAATCTGCGTATTGAAAATATTCTAACATAATTAAAATAGAAAATTTTCATTCAAAGTGATTTAAGAAATGATATTATTGAGTAATAATTTAAAAATTGAAAAAGTAATATAAAAAGTTTATATAGAATGATATGTAAATTTGTATCTATTTATTTCAAGTAAAAAGCCTCATTAAAATAATTTATTATTTTAGAAATGCCATTGCCAGTGCTACATTAATTTGGTAGCATTTGCTGTATAATTTTTTTTGTTTGCAAATAATTCTAAATATATATTTTTAATTTATGAGCTCAAGTGTAATGAGATTATTTTTTAAAAACAAGTCACCACAATGAGCCATATTATTTTGTATTTAAATTCCATAAAAGTTGTTATTCTTTTTTAAAAGAAGTGTACATAGAATTTTCAATCAAAATAATATGATAGTGACATTTAAAAAAAAAAAAAAAGAAGTTCACTGTGATGGACTTTTGGTTTGAAATGAAAAGATCAAAAAATGTCACATTATTTTGTATGAATTCTACCGTATAATTTTTAAGAAAATGGTCTACAAGCATAATTTTTATTAAAAAAATTATTCAAAAGTGATATTACAGTTGTGTTTTTAAAATTATGAGTTATAATAACGAGTGTTTTAATTTGAAATAAAGAACCACATGAACTATATTATTCTATATAAAAATCCCATTTAAATGCCATTACTATAATTGTTATGCTAGTAATTCATTACTCAAATTGTATTAGTAGAGGTATTAATTTACTGGTGTGGGTATGTATGTATGAAATGAAAGTTGATGGAGCCTTACTTGCTTGGATTTGATAAAATGGAGATATTTGGTAGACCTAATAGCCAATAACTTAGCCTGAGATATCAGTGCTTGTGCACACTGAATGTCTTCTGCACATAATGCCTCCACAAATAGCTCTAGCCTTTCTGATGCATTGTTTTCAAACTGCTTCCAATTCCTTTTTACCTGCAACGTTTTTAATATTGCAAATATATCGCAAACAACACCACAATAGACCACCAATAAGATTTGGTTAGTATGGACTTTTTTATTTTTATTTTTTGAATTTTTTTTAGAAACCTTTATATTTTTAGGTTCTGCTCACTGGCTAAATGAATCAAAAAAATAAAAAAAAAATGAAAAAGTTTTTCTTTTATTCTTAGTGATTTTTTATTATAGAATTTTGACTTTTTAAATTCTTTAATAATAGATGGACCAAAAATAAAAAAATTTTGGACACAATTTTAAAATAAAAATCACTAAAGATAAAAAAAAAATGTCCCCTTTTTTTTATTATATTTTTTTTATCTCGATTCCAAGCTCACCCTAAGTGGAGGAAAACAAAAATGGGGTTAACGGAGATATTGTTGCATCATGTCACTAATTGTTTTTATTCATAAATAATAATAATAATAGTAAAATTATTAATTATTTTATCAACAATTTTATAGGTTCCACACAGATGTAATTAGTTAATACAATATTAACAATTTAATTTATACTTATAATAAAGCTCCATTTATAATATGCCATGTGTCTTGTGAGGTCATACAATTAATCTTTTAAAAATGATTGGGAGCTTTAAAAAAGGAACTCTAATTGTGATGAATTACACTGTGATGTTTTGTGCTAACTTTTTTTTTTTTTAATTTTTTTTTTTTTTTTTGGGTCTTGCCACATAAGTAGAGTTTTCTTTAGCGATCTACTGTTAAAACTCTATAGCATCACTCTCAATCTTTTGGTGACGCAACCGAAACGACGGTATTTTTTGCCATTTCCTCAATTAACTCATCTCTCTTAAATTAAACTTTCACAGTTTAAATTATGATAATTTTTTATTTGGATTCGTTAACATGTTTGCGTGACTCCCACAAACATCTGGCATATTACAAATGAAGACACCTAACAACCCCAATGCAACAAAACCTTGCACAACAGAACCAAAAACTACACACCCATCCAGGTATGTGAATGATTGTTTGTTCTATCTAGCCCACATTAATTAGCATTTACTACACGAGTTCAGATCTCCACCGTCGTTTTTTGTCATGAATTTTGTAGTGGGCCAAAATGCCATCGTTTTGGTATATTTTTTTCCCCCTCTTTTGTATTGAGTATTTTTTGTACTGAGTGGTTGTCTCCGATCGCCTTCTCGGCTGACCAGTCAAGTTTCAGTCTAGAAGGGTGATGGATGCAGTCAATAAGCTTTTTGTTTCTACAAAATTAGACGAATAAGACTTGACTGGTCGACTGAGACGATGACCTAGGGACGATTACTCAGTACAAAAAGGACAAGGGAAACAAATGACTCTTACCAAAATGATATCGTTTTGGCCTATTACAGACGTCGTTTTGATCCACCGTAGGAACCATGACAGAAAATCACAATAAAGGATTTGAACTCTTCAGCACAAAGACATAAAATGCCTACATAAATCTCTTAGATTTGTTTACCTCACAAGTTGCCAGCCTCGGGTACGGAAACAACAGCGCCACAACACAAGCCAATACCCCGATTCCGGTGCTCGCCGCCACGTGTACACAATGCATTACAGGCTCACATTCCCCACCTTGCACATAAGCTATTACATACACTATCACAATTTGCCCCAGCGCTATCCTCTTCGCTATCAAATGGGTCGATTCCGGCACAGCCACCACAAATGCACTCATCGCCACCGCCACCGCCGTCGTGCACGTTGTCAATTGGGCCGGGCCTATCAGCCACAGGGTCAATATGGCCGGGCCCACGCCTTGCACGGTAGCGTAGAGCGCAAGCCAGGACCCGCGTAAAGTGTCGCCAAAGGTGGCGTCACTGACGATTAAAATCACGGTGACGTAAGAGAAAGCGGGGAATGTTAAATGGCGCGTGATGCGTGCAGGGCCGTAGAGGGTGGTGCCGCCTACTAAGGTGCAGGCTAGTGCGGTTCGGAAGGCGGAGGCGAGGCAGCGCCGCCACAGTTCTTGGGCCCGATCGGGCTGAGAAGTTGTGGAGATTGACATGGTGATGACGAGTTGAAGAGATTTATGTTTGGTTTGGAGAGTGGTGTTTTTGCTCCACCGCTCTGGTTTTTTCAGTAAATCTTGTTTGTTTTGGCCTATAGATAGATAGAAGGTTGGTGAAGATGGGTATTAGTAATGTAATGGGGGAAGATAAATAATTGTGTTTGAATTTTTATATTAATAATATGACTTATTTTGAAATCACATTATTAATACCCCTGCTATGCACGAGTATAATTGTGTATTCTAAAATTTTTATGAAAACAAATAAGAGAATGTTTTTATTTTTTATTTTTTTGTCATTAATTGTATATTCTAAATTTTTCATAAAAAATACATGTGTTAATTTAATTGGTAAAAATTAAAGAATTTTTTTTTAAAAAAATTACAATAAAATATAAATACATTTCATTTTTTAAGTTTCGTAATTTTAATTCACCATATGATAATAGTAATTTACATTTGTCAATATACTAATTTTTTCTTTTTTTGTAAGGCTTAAAAATTTGTCTACTCAAAATTATAAGTTATCTTATATCATAACTTTTGTTATGAAATCGATTTATTTGGTCCAACTAAATAAGTAAAATATAACACTCACGTGATTTAGATTGTCTCACTAATATAATATTAATAATGGTTTCTAAATATTTAACTATAAATTTAAAAATCTTGCTAATACTGCCCTAAATGTCCATGTTAAGAGTTTTGACTCCTCATTAAAGTTGTTGCAGAAATAACACAGGTCAAAATGTTAAATAAATTTTAAACCTTAACCCCTCAGTGTGAAAGAAATGTTTTTGAATTTTTGGTCAATGTTTAGAAATTAAAATATAGACGTAGTGTGAAGGTATAGTGTCTTACTAGTATAGTGGTATGAACACCCTTTTTTTTTTATACACAAAAAGAGGTAATGGCATTCAATTTTGTAAACTAGTTATAAATTATAATAAAACAATAATTTAAAGTTTGACTTCATTTAATGATATTTGTATCAATATTAAGTAATTGAACAAATTATATTATTAGAGCAATTGTCAGGAAGATCTCAATGAATGCTTGCAGAATTTCTCTATATAAATTCCTCTCTATGAATTTAAAGAGAAATTGTAGAATGTTCTTGGAGTATTACCTATTCGTACTTCTTAATCAATTATTATTCAATATGTCCCTTATGTTCCCTAATTACTCAACACAATACCTCACTTACCTACTTTTTTCACCAATTATAATACTATAAAATACCATGTGTCTATATTTCAAAATTACTAAATAACTACCCGAATTTTAGTACGTCAAAATATATATAGTCGCTGTACTTTATTCACTAATAAACGTTATTTATACATTCAATATTCTTTATTCACAAAAAGTTTATTGATTCACATGTAATAACCAATCTTCGATAATTTATAAAATCAAACCTTAAGTCCCTTGATTTGGAATTTACATTTATGTAAATGGAGCGTTAAATTTGAATAGAAATTTGTGAATGGAAAACAAAAGTCAAAGAAAAAAAGGTATATGAAATATATTAATTAAATTTTTTCTCTATTTTATTTAAATTTTTTCCCCTTTTGTCCTCCACTAATATTTACCTAAACTCTAAATCCAAACACAACCTAACTTAGTTGCCATTTGGCAATTTTTTTTTTTTTTAGAGATGAGTCTTTTTTAATTTGGGACTAAAAAGTTCATTTGACAAATTTTTTTGGGCTTTTTTTTTAAAAAAAATTTATGAGAGAAAAAGTGAAAAAATTATGATTTAAATGTGACACTTTGTCTTATTTACTTATTTAGTTTATTTTATCTTTTATGTTTTTTTAATCCCAACTGAAATAGCCAAACAAAGCCTACTGATCCTTTAGGAGGAGGAAGGGTCAAGCAGCCTCCGCAGCATGATGCTTTAATAGAAGAAATTAGTTAAAGCAAAAGCAACTCCAACCAAAAAAAAAGGTTAATAATAATATAGGCAAATGCACCATTCTAATATATGTGGTTTGGGATTTAATGTAGATTTTCATTCTATTTTAAAAGGTTGTAAAACTCAAAAGCAATTATATATAATTATTATAAATTTTAAAATTTCTCTTAATTTTTTTGAATTTAAAATATAAATTTATTGGCATGAATTTGTCATGACCATTGATTATATATAATGGAGATCCATTCTATCTATGAAATGAAAAGGATCTTATCCCTACCATTGGTGATTCATTTTTTTTTTTTTTTTGGTTGAAAAATTTAGTGAAATATCCCTTTTCAACTTTTGATAATAGGAGAAGTCTAATATATTTTTTCTTAATAGGTGCTTTACTAATATTATCGAAGAAATTTCAACTCGTTAATTTCAACTCGCCATAGATCTGTGATGAGCTGAAATTTCTCTGTAAAAATGTTAAAGGATCCCAACTACTATGAAAATATAATATATTTTTTATTTCATAAAACCTTAATATCAAAGATTTTAAACTAAAATTCCCCCTCTTTTTTTTTTTCTTTTCATGAAATTGGTAGGTCGGAACGACATCTATTTTTCAAATTGCATATATCTATATGTTTGTATTTATATAAAATGTATTCAATATTACTGATGGCATTTTTTTATTTTCATGAAATTAGAAGGCCGGAAAGGACATCCTTTTTCCAAATTTTTTGAATTTTTTTTTTCAAAATTTTGTTTGGTTTGTGTTTTTTCTCAAACAAATTTCAAAATCAATTTCTCTCTCTTACACATCAATCAATCAATCACTTTTTCTTTCATACACATCTATTTAATTACAACAAAATATCAAAAAAATAGACAACCAAATAAACCAAAAAAATTTCTAAACTCTCTCCCCATTTTTTTTTTTTTTGAAAATCACTCTCTCAAAAGTAAACCAAACACATCCTTAATTTTTTTTTCTTTTCACGAAATTAGTAGGCCGGAAAGGACATCTTTTTTAAAAACTGCATATATCTATATGTTTGTGTTTATATAAAAAAAATTTCAATATTACTGATGGCAATGCCGCAAACTTATGAGTCTCACAATAATCAAGGGTGATGATAAGTTCGCAACAATATCATTAGTGGTAACAGTTGTGTTTATATTTGTGTTGCATATAATTTGTACTTGTAAAGACTAATACTTAGATAAAAATATAAGATATTTATATGAGATCTAACATAGGTGGGCCTATAGGAGCGTTTGGCCCATCACTTAGAGCCCAATACATAATTCAAACACTAAAGCCCAACAGTGCTGGAGCTCAACGTGACATTAAGAACCAATGATATCCCAACAGCTGTCCAGAGTAGAACCAGCCACATCGACAGACAAAGATCCTATACAGTTATTGCACCACACATCAGCTATTAATGAGATTTCCTGCAACATTTATTGCGATAATCCCTCCCTGTCGGAACAGAACGGCCTCACCATGAACAAGGCAAGCTAGAACATAGACTTTCGACCAACGTGACAGGTCGGAAGGGACAAAAAAATGATTAGTAGAGGATATAAGCGGGTTTCGAAGACAAGGAAAAATGTTAAGCTTCTCTATCATTAATCTATCTACACATTCCATCTCTCTTTCTAACTTGCTTGTCGGAGGGTTCGCTGGGGGACTCCCCGTTCCCCGTTGAACTCTTGTGCAGGTCTCCCTGAGGGTTTGGTGTCTCGGGCATCAATTTGAGAAGCGTGGATCAAACTGACCCGTTCAATCTGGAACTCGCTCTAACATCAAGATCTATAATCTGTACTTGTAAAGATTGATACTTAGAGTATCTCTAATGACAAATGTTATAATAGTATTACTATTATTATAATTTGACAATAAATAATAAAAGTGATAGAATTATAGTAATTGTGTTCCAATGGTCAGATGCCAATACCATTTTGACAGAACCAAACACGTGGCGGTCGTTCGGAACACACCAATTTTTGTATTTGGTTTTGCAAAAATAGTAATTTTGTAAAATTTACCTGTTTTGTCAAGAGGAAGGGAGGGAACTGGTTGGTTTTGGTTGAGACAACTGTCAAAGTTTGTGTCAAATTTAATGGCTACATATTCACTATTAGAAAATTACTATTGTTATATTATAGTAATGGTAGCTCCAAATCCAATGACAAACCATTGGAAATGCTAATGTTGTGTTTGGTTGTTGGATTTGGAGAGGGATTTGGAAAGGGAAATGGAAAAGGTAGGTGAAATGTGAATAAATCATGCTTATATTTCACATAGTTTCACACACCTTTTCCCTTTTCCTTTCCAAATCTCTCCCCAAATCCCCCAACCAAACACACCATAAGAGTATTTGATATCTATACTACACCAAAAAGAAGGTAGAAAGGGTTTCTTTTATTTTTGAAATTGGCATGCAGCAGCCCTTCTATGACATTGCATGGTGGGTGGGATCTCATGTAAGAAAGTGGTAGTGCCCTGTTTGTTTGTATGCTGGAAAATTGGTGATCATTTAGTGGTGCTTACATTTTTTCATGATGTTTTTTTATAGTACCCAAATTAATATTTTACCTGTTTATTTATTTTTATGGAAAATACTAATCAAACATAATTGTAATACAAAAACATAAAACAATATGGTATTAACATTTTGGCCCTTCTATCTCTAAGGAATCGATAAAAATAAATCACAACATTAGTATGGAAATTCTTAATATAATTTAATATTATTTGTATGACTTTACTCTATGATATGAATTCTCTCTAATTGATTGAAGGATTTCATCTTAAAAATATGAGAGGGAGTGCATTCTCTATAGCGGAATCTACGAAGAAAATGTAATTTGATTTTGTATATGATATTGTATAAAAATACTAGAGAATTATGCACAAAAAATTATCAAATAAATTTGGATCACACAATTTATTTATTTATTTTTTGAATGGTCATGATAAGCTATTCCTTTGAATGGTTATGGTATCTATTCAAAATCTGAAAGGTCACAAATGAATTTTTTATTTTTTATTTTAGGTGAGAATACTTTTACATTGTTTTCATGACAAAGAGACAATTCTAAGTAGATGGTGGTGGCTTATTTCAAAAACGTGTCACATGAATTTCATTAGGTGTTTTTGTTTTTTTTTTAATATGAATTTTACACAATAAACATTA